CCTGTTGAGTGAGGGATTTTCTGTATGCACATGTATGGCCTCCCTGACCCTTCTCTCAAACCACTTATCTTCTAGGTCCAAATGATTACATCTTGGTCATCAAATAAGTGTCCTTTGTCACTCAAATAAAGGAACACTGCTGATTGTGGTCCTCAGCTATTGCCCCTCCTGTGCTGGGCTATTCTCCTTTTTAGTGTCTGTTTGGTTTCTCCATTGTAGAGTTCTGAACACTCTTCTTTGCGTTGGACCACATATACTATATTGCTCCTGTTGTGTTTTGGGGATCCGGTCTTTTGGATGGACGAGTTGCTGCCTTAATGTGTTTGTGTGGGTTTGAAGTGCACGGGTATGTGCTGTTTACCAAAAATTCTTTTGAGCTTTTCCGACACACCTGCCATGTAACGAATGACCAGGTTCTTCCATCATCTCTGGGTCTCAGACTATTCCATTGTCCTCCTGGGTCAAAATGGTGCCTTGTTAAAGACCCATTTTGGATATCCACAGGCCTTCAGGGCTGTCTTCAGATGTCCATCTTACTTCTTCTTGGCTTCTGTGGATGTGGGCATGTTTCTTGTCTGTGGTTTAGCATCCTGATGACCCCCTAGTTTGTGTTGCAATGGGTGATGAGAGTCAAACAGCAGGGATTGATTAGTGTGTGTAGGTTTTCTGTAGCTTTCTATTCTTAAACTGCCATTAGATCCTATGATGACTGCACAGACCAGGAAAGCCAACTGGTTGTCTTTGGTGTCTTCCCTGGTGAACTTGATATTTGGGTCCACTGTGTTTATCTGGTCTGTGAAGGCCTGTACTTCCTGAATTTTGATCTTCACCCAGTTGTCAACCACGTACCTGAACCAACAGGTTGGAGTTGTCCCCTGGAGGGTGTATGGGATTGTAGCTTTACTTGCTCACTTTTGCATTAATTCACTCACTTTTCTTGCTGGTGGGCTTTCCCAGAAGTAACTGGTTGGCTCTTCCATTTACAGAATGTTGTACCAGAGAGGCCTTTAACCTCCTTTCTTTATCATGAAGATGCTGTCATATTAATTGTATTAAGAAGACAAAAAGCAGGATGGAAGTGTAGATTCCAGAAAGCAAAAGGGAGAAGGTCTATACACTTGGAGAGATAAGGTTTTAATTTTTTTTTAATTTTCAAAGATTATATCCCATTTTGAAAAAGGAGAACAGGACCTGTCCAAGAGATTTGGTTGTCTAAGGCAGTGGCCCCCAACCTTTTTGACACTGCAGACCAGTTTGGGGGGAATGTAGGTCCGTGCACGGGGGTACCCCCACACTTGCATGCATGCGCAAAGGGGTGGGGCACTCGCGCAGCAGGCATACACACTTGTGCGCATGCACAGAGGCGTGGGGCACACACTTGCACGCGTGCGCAAAGGGGTTGTGGGGGTGGTCGTGCAGGGGGAGTGCGTGGGGGGCAGGAGATCTTTCTCTGCAGCCTGGTCTGGCCAAGGCCACAGACCGGGGGTTGGGGACCCCTGGTCTAAGGTGTAGAAAGAGAGGTTATAACAATGCCATTTTAGTGTTACTCCAGCACTCATGTTAAGACAGTGGTTTCCACTGCACTTGAAGTAGTCAGTAGGCTTATTTAGAGTACAGAGGGTGACTATGTAGTATGTAGAGCTCTGTCCTCTGATAGAGGTACAATAGTAGCGAGATGGTTTAGGAGGCAGGGCTGGGCCTCTGTCCACTAGTGCTCATTGATCATCTTAAGTGGTTGAACCAACTCTAGTTTGGCTTCTAAAATAAATCATTTATGCAGTTTGGGTCTCTTTTTTAAAATCTGTGTTTAAACTTTTGTATTTCTGTGTGGATTAATTCTTTTGAATGTCTGATCTTATTCTTGGCCTGAGTTTTCAGGGAGAGCAATAGTTTGATCTGGGAAGAGGAACTAAAAGCCATTGTTATGTATGAAATGCATTAATATTTCACTTTCATTCAGGCCTTCTATTAACTCATTAGCAAAACATATGTGGGGGCATGCTAGCCTTGCCCTCCCTAAAGCAATGCACTATAGATAGTAAGTAGCTAATAATTATTACCCATTCATCTGCTGATCTGTTTGAAATGACTTCTACATAAACCTAATGCATCTTGCTGGAAAAGGTGTTTTGAAAGTCACCATTGATCAATCGATCGATCGATCGATCGATCGATCGATCGATCGATTGATTGATTGATTGATTGATTGATTGATTGATTAAAAGTACTGGGGGCTTTAATCTGAGATAGTAAATTTTAAGCTGTGAGTTATAGAAACATCTCTGTTTTTGAGCCTATTTTGTTTTTCAGTGTTGCTCTAATTAATTAATTAAAACAAATAATTAGGTGGGTTTTTAAAAAATATGACAGGCAGCTTTTGCAAATTAAATGTTATTTACTGACTGGTACATGCTTCTTTCAGTATTGCAAAGAGGCACTTCTATTTTGCTTTTTTTATAACAAGTGAAGTTATTTAAAATTAATGGATTGTTGAAAAGACAGAATTACTACCAAATATAGACTGTGTGCACTACGTAGTATGGAGAACTGTGTGTGTGCAGCCTTTTTGAGGAAGCTGAAGTTGCACTAACTAGGTGATGGATTGGCAGAGCAGAATCCATTCCTGTGCCCAAATAGTGCTGCAGTGGGTGGATCATATTAGGCTTTGTTTATTTCCACATCTTGCTGTTTCAGAACACAAATAGCTGTTAGCTAAATAGGAGTGCTGCATCTGATTCATTGGTAGCTTTTGTAATGAGTAATCTTGAGTATTTTGCTGCAGTAGTACTCTCTAATGAGAGGACTGGAGGAAACACACAAGCAAAAACAGAGTATTGCAAAAAAAGAAAAGAAATGCATGCTGCTTATAGACACACTTCAAGCACTCTTTGGAAAGTTTAAAAATTAGTTATGCAGGCTACACATTGCCCCCGCCCCCAGCGAGCTGGGTATTTATCTTACCAACCTCGGAAGGATAGAAGGCTGAGTCAACCTTGAGCCAGCTACCTGGGATTGAACCCCAAGTCGTGAGCACAGTTTTGGCTGCAGTACAGTGGTTTAACCACTGCGCCACAAGACAACTTTCCTTTTTACGATTTCTACAGTTGTTGTTTTTGTGCATAATAAAAACCAGCACTTTCTTGGTATTGGGCTTCTGTTTTAAAGGGAATCATGATAGGCAGTCTGCTTTGCATGTCAAAAAACAATCTGTTCGAAGGTAGGTTCAGGTGTGCTACATTGTGATAACTAGCAATGCGTCAGATATTTATCTCTTGGGCTCTTTCATATGTTCACAAAATAAAAGGAAATATTTTTAATTGCCATTCTTTGTGGCCTTTGTGAATCACGCTATTGGTAATCCACGCATGCACAGAGCCTTGTCAGAATATTCTAGAGCTTCTGCGGTAGCAAAGGAAAATACATGAGTATAGACCCCTCCCCTCAGTATATGTACCTTCGTGCCAAGGCTCTCCCTTCAGTTTCTTTCAACCACCATGTTGAGAGCCTTGATCGTTGCTTCTGTGAGAAATCTGAAAACAAAAGTAGGAAAGTTATTGAACTTTATTTATTATTATTATCCTTATGATTTTCAAAACAAGATACGCTCCGGCCTTAGGGCCAAAGTGCCCCCCCCAACCTTTCCGTTGCTTTCTTTTTAAAACTGGTTCTTGGTTCACAACCTTTTCAGGCCCATTTAAAAGTGGCGTAGCCTGCAATAACGAGATCTAAATGCTTTTTTTTGCCTTGGTGAGGCCATCAAACTTCCTTCTTCCACTGCAAGAACGTTAAATGTGGAGTCAAGCTTCGGCTCTCGGAGCAATCCCTAAAGCCATGGATGAAGCTGTTTATGAAGCGACAAAACAGTGCCTGTCAGCTACTCCATCTTGTTCCAATCAGTAACCTCCTCTGCACTTGATATCGACAGTCACGCGAGTGCACAAAGCCAAACATTCGACGTTGAAACCCTCAGCATCGAAAACAGCCTCTAAGAGAAAACATCAGCATTGGAACCATCACCTCCAAAGAAGGCTAAGTCTTTGAAATTGAAGGCTCCCAAAACTGTTTCCCCGACTCCACAATCACCGGAGTCTAGAAACCTCATCTACATTGGTTCTTTTTCAGATGAGGAGACACTTCCACCTCATCAACCTCACCATTGCAGTCTTCCGAATGGGAACAGCGTGTTGATCGACTCACAACTTCCCCTGATAGCCCTCAACAATCCTCAGGCTCTCCGAGTGAGTCTTCACAAATTGCCTCATCAGACATCCATGGCACTAAACGCAACCAGAAACTGTGCCTTACTCTGCCCCTTTAGGCCTACCACCTCACCCTCCGGCACATCAACAAAGGCATCAAGCCTATATGAGCATCCGCTTGCCTTCTCGCAAGAAAAGAGATCACGCTGAGCACCATCATCAGGATGCTGTTTGCCCCAATTGGTACCTAATGGAGAAGCCCGCCAAACACTATTGGCCAGTTGCTGTTCCTGGTCCGGCAGGGGCTATCACACCTCTACCACAGATGTCCACTTTCCACCACGGGTATGGTAGCTTTATAGTCACCCATAGTGTGATTCACAGAGGCCTCGAAGAAGAATGACAGGTTATCTACCTGTAATTGTAGTTCTTTGAGCGAACCTCTGTGATTCACACATCCCGACCCGGCCTCCCCACTGTCACACCTTTTTCTTTATATAGCAGTTGACCTAACTGAAGGGAGAGCCTTGGCTCCAAGGTACATAAACCAGGGGGGAGGGGCCTATGCTAATGTATTTTCCTTTGCTACCGCCAAAGCTCTAGAATATTCCAACAAGGCTTCGCACATGCACAGATTACCCATAGTGTGAATCACAGAGGTCCACTCGAAGAACTACAATTACAGGTAGGTAACCTGTCATTCTCTGGAATTCGCATTTCTGTATGGTTTCCGTATTTCAGTAATTTTACGTTACTCAGTACTTGAGTTTTTTTCTCTTCTCCCTTACCTCCTACTGGCAGCATGATGTATCTCAGACCCTGCTCAAAGCTACCCTGGACAGTGTGGTGGAAGAGTGTGTCAGCTTTGTTGGAGTTGATATCAATATCTGCTCAGAAATATTATTAAGGTGAGCTTTGAAGAATTCCCTGTTTTAGTTGGTACATGCATTTTGGTCATATGGATTTATGTGTTCAGACCTACCAGTGGCATGGATCCTCATTTTAAATTCTGTTCATGGAGGAAAATTGCACTTGCACAAGGAGTCCTTCTCAGAGGAGAAAAATCCCTACGGTGAGCATATCTGTGTTGTGAATGAAAGGACTGTCTGTAGATCCAAAAGTACAAAAGGATATTGTTGTTTGAAAAATCAAGACACAATCATACCTACTATGATGAGTGCAGCTAAGATCTACAGCAAGGTGGCAGTGTCAAAATGAGAGGTGCATGCTATTTCCAACAAGCCATACTTTCCTAGAAGCACTGTTAGCTTGATCAAGAAAGGCACTGTAGTTTCTATAGCATATTTTCTATGGTAGTTATTCCCCGACCTTGTGTCCCCAGATGTTCTTGGGCTCCAACTCCCAGAAATCTTGGCCAGCACACCTAATGGTGAAGTTTGCTGGAAGTTTTAGTCCAAGAACATCTGGGGACTGAGTTTTGGGGACCATTGTTCTATGGTATGTGTGTCTTATTTACAAGGCTAATAGCAGTTCTGGGAAGTCTGAGAAACAAGATACACATTTTTGCTGCTTTCAGTAAATCCAAAGGTTAGACCTCAAATGTTTCTAGAGGGTGGGACTTGTAGCCTGAGCCCACAAAGGTTTGTTTGTTTACTTAATATATTTGTAACCTGTCTTCTTAAAAGGACACAAAGCAGCTTACAATAAAGAAAAATGGTATTTAAGTTAGTGACAATGAGTATACAATAGTAAAAAGATCAATGAATGATCAATGATCAATGTCTGTTTCCTTTTTTGTAAACAGCCCAGAGTGGCCTTGGCTGCCAGATGGGTGGTATAAAAATCAAATGCATACATACATACATACATACATACATACATACATACATACATACATACATACATACATACATACATACATACATACATACATACATACATACATACATACATACATACATACAGTGGTACCTCGGCTTATGAACTTAATCCGTATTGGAACAGCGTTCGTACATCGAAAAGTTTGTAAGTCGAGGCAAAATTTTCCATAGGAATGCATTCAAAATCATTTAATCCATACCTGCTGTTTTTCGTTTTTATGTCGAGGCGCTGTTCATAGATAGAGGCATTAGTTCCCATAGGAAGTAATGCAAAGCCGGTTAATCCATACTCTACCACTAGGGGGCAATTTTTTTTATTTTCTTCTTCATTTTACCAAAGATGAACTTAGGTCAAAAAAGAGCAGGAAAGTTTTTTTTTTAATTTTCTTTTTTGGTTTGTAAGTCGAGGCTCTGTTCGCAAGTTGAAGCAACATTTATGACCGGAGCCGTTCGTAACTCGAATTGTTCGCAAGTAGGGATGTTCGTAAGTCGAGGTTCCACTGTGCATAATACATGCATGCATGCATACATACATACATTTTATTTGTTTGTTTGTTTGTTTGTTTGTTTGTTTAACTTATATGCTGCCCACTCTACCCAAAGGTCTCTGGGCGGCTTACAACAATTAAAATTCAATTAAAATACAATAAAAAGATAAAATGATTAAAATACAATTAAAATTGGCATCAGGACCCGCAGTTGATGTTATTTCAATTAAAAGCCTTCTGGAACAGGAAGGTTTTGACCTGGCGCCAAAATGTCATCAGTGTCGGCGCCAGACGAATTTCAGTCGGGAGAGCATTCCATAGTCTGGGGGCAGCTGCCAAAAAGGCCCTTTGTCTACAAGCCCTCCCTCTTATCTCCTTAAAGGACGGCTCTTTCAAAACGGCCCCCTGGCTAGATCTTAACTGCCGGGTAGGCTCATATGGAAGGAGGCGGTCCTTCAGATATCCAGGGTCTAAGCCGTTTAGGGCTTTATATGTCAAGACAAGCACTTTGAATTGGGCAGCAACTGGTAACCAATGTAACTTAAACAGAATCGGCTTGATGTGTTCTCTAGCGACTCCACCACTCACCAGCCGTGCAGTTCGATTCTGGACCAGTTGCAGTCGCCGGACCGTCTTCAAAGGCAGCCCCACATAGAATGCATTGCAGTAATCTATGCAGGATGTTACCAGTGCATGTGTAACTGTCATGAGAGTCCGCTTGCCCATGTAGGGCTGTAGCTGGTACAATTTCCGCAGCTGAAGGAAGGCTGCCCTGGCCACCGAGTCCACCTGGGCTTCCAGAGTTAGACTGGGGTCCAGGAGCACTCCCAGGCTGTGGACCCTGTCCCCTAGGGGGAGTGTAACCCCATTCAGAGCAGGGAAATGGCCCTCCAACCTGTCCGGCGAAGCCCACTAACAGCACTTCTGTCTTGTCTGGATTGAGTTTCAATTTATTAACCCTCATCCAGTCCATTATCAGGTCCAGACACGAGTTCAGCATACAAACAAAATAAAAAAACCATAAGCAACACCAAAATACATTCAATACAGTAAGGTATTATAATCCATTTTTAAAAACCCCACTTGGCATCCATTTGCTCAGGGAAGGCTTGCCTAAAAAGAAAGGTCTTTGCCTGCTTGCAGTAAAGATGGTGTCGATCTGTTCTCCTGTGGGAGGGAGTTCTAGAGTCTGGGAGCAACAGGAACAGAGAAAGCTCTCCCCCATGCACCCACGAAATGCACCTCTGAAGGTGACGAGATCGAGAAAAAGGCCTCCCTTGATGATCTTAACATTCGAGCAGGCTCATTACAGGAGATGTGGTCCTTGAGGTAGCTTTGTCCCAAGCTGCTAAGGGCTTTATAGGCTAGAATCACTTTGATTTGTGCCTGGGCATGGATCAACAGCGAGTGAAGCTGCTCCAAGAGATGGTTTGTGTGATCCCTGTGTCCAGCCTTAGTTAGCAGTTGCCCAAACCTGCTTCAGAACAAACTATCCATTTAGATTTGCATTAGTTATTGCTTAATTGTGTTGTATGTAATTTGTTATCTTTGTTTTTCGGGGGCCTCTCCTCCCCTTTATGTTTCTTAGACATATTGCAGGACTGAATGCCAACAGAGCTAAAAATGTAATTGAATGGCGAGAGAAGAATGGGCCATTTATTAATCGGGAACAGCTCAAAGATGTCAAAGGACTGGGTCCAAAATCTTATCAACAGTGTGCTGGATTTATAAGAATTAACCAGGAATATATCAAAGCGTTTTGCAGGTAAAGATGGTGTGTGGAGTACAGATTATGGGGTTGGTTCTTTCTTCCCTTTTTGTTTAGGTGACATTCAAATGAAGGTTCAGGTTCACTTATTTTCCCTTTGGAATGCAGAGGTCCAAAGAAATAAACCCAACCAACAGTTCCCCCCTGCCTTGAGGCTCTGTCTCCAAAGTGGGAGATACCTTTTGAAAATAGGTTGCAAAATGTTGGTGCTCTTTTTATAATCTAGTGCAAGAGTAGAGAACATGTGACCTCTAGATGTTCTTAGACTACAATGAACACAGTCCCTTAGCACTAGCCATAAAGTTGGCTGGAGCTGCTGGGAGTTGTCCAAGGCACTTGGAGATCTAGAGAATCCCTTACTTGCTCTACTGTTAGAAATTCACAGTGTCTGTATGCTGTAGGAGTTAGAGTGGAGGAAGACAGCATATGGCCATAGCCATACATGTCTACCCACCCTTATTTTTATCTTCCCTGGACATTCCCACCCACTAAATTGGATGCCAAACAAGCAGAATCATACTCCTAGATACTTCAACAAAGTAAGATTCTCCAGTAAAAGAAGGGGTGTACTTTGATTTGGTAAAAAAATATGTCATTCTTTAAACTAAATGGGAATTTCAGGTCCTCTGTTAAAAAAAACAAACACCAAATTAGCAGCCATGTGGCCCACAATGGGTCCTGCGAGGGTAGAGTTGACTTGCAAGTCTGATGAGTGTATCCCCACATGGTCCTGGGGCAATGAATCGATGTACCAGTCCGATATCCTTACTCTATTGCCTGAAGAAGTAGATTTGATCCACAAAAACTCACACTGAAATGTAAGTGTCTTGAAAGTGCCATGCGCTTTTGTTTTTCCTGAGGTACAATTGTTGTTGTTTAGTCGTTTAGTTATGTCTGACTTTTCGTGACCCCATCGATGAGAGCACGCCAGCCCTCCTATCTTCCACTGCTTCCCAGAGTTGGGTCAAATTCATGTTGGTCGCTTCGATGACACTGTCCAACCATCTCATCCTGTGTCGTCCCCTTCTCCTCTTGCCCTCATACTTTCCTAACATCAAGGTCTTTTCCAGGGGGTCTTATCTAGTGAGGTACAATAGTGCTGCCTATTCATAGGTACCACATAAGACAAGCAGTAAGAAGGCTAATATTCATATCCTAGCTCTTATTAGGGAACCTTATTGTATGACCTTGCTCTAGTTGATGTATCTTGATGTAAGGAAATAAAAGGAGGAGAAGAAAGGAGGCAGGCAAGAACAGATTAATTCCAGTTGGATTCCCACACCCTGCTCCTGCCTTTCTCTCCCTGGAGACATCTACCCCCAACTGTTCTGTGGGAAGTCTTTGATGACTTGTGATATATTGGTATTATTAATTGTGTGTATGTCTGTTTAATGTATTTTAACATAAGCCACCTAAGAAGGAGCTGCATCCTGGTAATTTCGACCAATCACTCAATCAAGCTTCCTCAAGAGAAGACAGTATAAAAATATAATAAAGACCATAATTAAATTTAAACAGTCTATCCATATAGTTATAAATAAGATGTGGTCAAAATGCAGACTGACATGTAGGAGAAAGTATGTGTGTTGTTGCACATTGCCATTTACAGTAACTGGTCTTTCTATACAGCGTCTTTCTCTTTTAGTCTTGTTCGCACCTTGACAGCTACAGACATTGTCTGCCTAGCTGGGACTCTATGACAGTCCAGTCCAGTTCTAAATAGAGCTGGAGTGGAAAAGCGACCTGACGGAACTTCATCTTGAACTGAGCATAAGACTCATTCTGAACACTGGTTCAAATATAGATATCAACAAAGCTTGGGAAAGTTAGTTTTAAAGTCTACAACTCTTATAATCCCCTGCCTCATATAGCTATTGGATATCCTCTCTGGGACGGTCAGGGAGTTTTTCCACAGTGGTGCCCCACATGATGACGATAATCCGTCCCATTGAAATTGCTGTTTAGCGAAATCGTCGTCATGCAAAATCCGTTTCCCCATTAGAATGCATTGAAACCCAGTTTAATGCATTCCAATGGGGAAAATACCTCGTCGTCCAGCGAAGATCGCCCATAGGGAAGCCATTTTGAGAGCGCCGATCATCTGTAACAATGGCTGCCCTGTGAAGCATGGGTCCGGAAAACACAAACCAGCCATTTTGCAAAGCCGACGATCAGCTGTAAAAATCGTCATCTTGCGAACAAATGGTTCGCGAAGGACGGACCTAATCAACGTCCAACGAAAATCCCCCATTGGAATTACTGTTTTGGGAATTGCTATAGCTATCGCAAAAAGTCATTGTTATGCGGATTCGTCATTTAGCGGGGTCGTCGTCTTGCGAGGTACCACTGTACAAAAATTTCCGGAGCTGAATGAAACCGAAACACATGGACTCAACCTACAAGCTAACTTCACCTGTGCTACAGCTCTGTGCCAAGAGGCTATGGCTCAAATCCAGCATTAAGTCAAAAGTACAGTAGACCTGTTGAACCCATGGAACTTACAGTTGAGTTGACTCACCAAATCTCCACTGATTCAATGGGCCTACTCTATTTGTAACTTAGTAATGGATTTAAGCTTGTATCTGCATTTCCAGATCAACTATGGAAGCAAAGATATCCTTTACCTAAACTAAACCTAAATCCTTCTGTACCTGAAAATTTATTATTTTTAAAAGTACAATCTTTAGAGAAATCTGTTTGATAGAAAATAAATAAATAATACTGGGTTGTGGACTGACCCACAAAAGTTTTGCTCTGTAGATCATTTAAGTGAGGCAAACATGATAGCTGCTCTGTGGTTATTATGTTCCTGGGATGACTACAAACAGAATTTTCTAAGTTTTCTTAATTACCAAATTTATTTTTATTCATAGATTTGCCTTTTTGTTGTTCTTTGTGAAACTAGTTGTAGCTACAGAATTCTTGAAGTTCATGCTTTTGCTTTGCATGGGGTGAGGACAAAGAAAACCTACATCTTAGTAGCATTTTTTGCACTATAACAACTCTTTCTCCTCTTTCCTGATTTTGGACATCAGTCAACAGGGAGAGCTTGTAGCTGGGAGCCACAAAGGAGCCACAAATGAGAAACAGGGTAAAAAGAAAACTAAAGCAGGAGCAAATACTATTCGGCGGCCAAATCCTTTGGATCAGACTTGCATCCACCCGGAATCATATAATATTGCAATGAGGTAAGCAACCGTACAATGGGCCTACAGTTAGCTAATGCAGTTTTTAATCCAGGAATCAGTTCTTATTCATGGATAATGGAAAAATCTAGAGAGCAATATGCTGAATTCTGTAAAGCTTACACTGTAATGATGGTGAAGTCAGAGGTGTATCTTGGAACCCTTTCATTCTCTTTTGAGCCAATGTACTGAGGCACTGAACATTAAAGAATGTTATTCCCTGATAACTTGATAACTTCGTGGAACTTTACAAGTACATAAAGGAATTTTGTGATTTTTTAAAAAATATGCATTGTCTATGTTGCATCAGTATCAAGCATGCATATTAATGTTTATAAATGATACTCTATGTGAACACATTAATGCACAGTTAATAGTTGTTATCCCTGGATAAGTATCTCTGGGTATATAAGAGAAATTGTTCTTGAACCAGATCTTGTAGCACCGATCTGCTCATAGGCCTGTCAAAAAAAGAGAGTAAAAGTTACTGTGTATATACTGTTATTACAGAAAATCTATTGAAAAGATAGATGTGTGAGAGATGTATGAGTGTCACAGCAGGAGATTTTCATGCCTTCTGCAGCTTGCAGTTTACCTTGCTTGGTTGTGTGATTGGTGTATTGGATACAAGTTAACTTGCTTGGTTTTGTGGTTCACCTTTTGGACCTGGCTTTGTTTCCAAATCTGAGTGCTTTGCACAAAGTCCTCTATCTTAAGTCACACATTCTGCAAACTAGGCGCAGCCAAGGACCCATTCCCTTGCCCCAAGTGAATGCAAATTAGATGTTGGAAAAATGGAAAGAAGACCCTCAACCTGTGTCCCACATGATATTAGTTGAATATGACTCTCATCAGTCATCACGGCCAGTGATCAGGGATGATACCCTTTTCCCCCCAAAAAAAGACCTAACCTGAAAATAAGCCCTAGTATGATTTTTCAGGATGCTTGTAATATAAGCCCTACCCCAAAAATAAGCCCCAGTTAAGTGAAACCCTGCCCTCCCCCATTGTGCAGCAACTAGAAGATGATATGACTGTAAAATAAAACATCCCCTGAAAATAAGCCCTAGTGCCAAAATTAATATAAAACCCTGTCTTATTTTCGGGAAACATGGTAGCAGTTGTATTCCACTATTATCTGGTGGAATGGAAGGTCCAATGGAAGGTCCATTGGTTGTCCACCCATGATGTCAGCTATTTATATATTCCATTCAATAGAAAATAAAACTGTGGCTTACATCTAATTCTTAGTTCCAAGAGTTCTGGACAGTTCTGCTTAAACATGGTATGTCAGCACTTACATAAGTCCCATTAATTCAGTGGTCTATTCTATATGTGACTTAACAATTGAATTTACGCCTCTGTAAATACTAAGTTATGTTTCTGCAGCTGTGGATAGAGAATAATCATGAAAGGAGACATGTAGTTTCTAAAGCAGTGGTTCCCAAACTTGAATTGCCAGATGTTATCAGACTGAAATTCCCATAAAACCTTTACCACTGTTTGTGCTGGCCAAGATTTCTGGGAATTGTAGCCCAAGAATATCTGGGGACCGAAGGTTTGGAGCCACTGCTCTAGAGTGTCAGATGGGTTAGGGAAACCCAGATTCAAACCCCATCAGACTCACAGAATAGTCTTGAACCAGAGGGAAACACTGCAATCACAGCCGTATTGTGAAAATTAAAGAAGAGTAGGATCATGTAAACTACCCTTACCTCTTTGGAGAAAGAGTAGGCCAAACGTAGAAGGAATAAATAATATATGTGGATTTGCAAATGAAATGTCTGCCTAATTTAGTGGTAGTCAGCTTCCTTCTCTTTCCATTAATATGTTTACCTTTCCTTTGCAACTTATGCTTTTCCTTTGCAATTAATGTTTTTTATGCTAGCAGTAGGTGCAGAATATTTTATAACCAATTAAGGAGAAATAATATGGGGTGTTAATGCCACTGGGTATTGCCACATTTTTTTCTCCCTAAGCAAGTACACAGTTCCCATAACTGTAGAGGGATATACAAAAGCCACTCAATAGCCTCTTGTTTCAGCAGCACTTATGGTTTGCCTGGGGATGATGGGATTTCAGTTCCCAAAATCTGAAGGGCCTGAGGCAAGGGTGAGTGAGTTCCAGGAACCTCCCATGCCATCTCAGGATCATAGAATGCTGGACCTGCTCTTGCAGTCAAACACCTATCCTTTTGTTCTTACAAACTTAATGGTTCAACTGAAAAGCCACTTTGTGTCTTCCAGTGGCCAAATTTTGAAAAAAAATTAAATGAAAGACTGAGGCCCCAGAAGTGCGCAGTCTCCCTCAGAACATGGGGGGACGGGGGGGGAATCCCCCTAGAGGGCACAAGAGGGATTTATGAGTCAAATCTTCTTTCAGAAAATTTTTTAAAAATTTTCTTGAGGAAGTACTTGGCCCCATGAGGCTGCAAGTTTATGTTAATATTCTTTGTAATTTTAATATTGTTAGCTGCTGCAGGCTGTCCAATGCCCGCCTGTGGTCTAAAAATAAAAGTTGAGCGACTGGCTCCTTAAAGACATCTGCCATAGACTTTGTGGCTGATGAAGGAAAATCCCCATTCAGTGCCAGTGGGGGATTCCTCCACCCCATGAAAACAGTAGCTAGTTAGCTATGCAGTAGTGATTTTCTTCAGAACAACAGCTGGGAGGCCAGCAGTTAAAGTCTGCTCTTCATACCTGCTATAATCCTGCTAATGACTGGTAACCTTTTGCCCGACTAATGCTATGTCCATCGTTAAGAGATCTGCATGGTATGTGCAAAGACACATTTAATGTCATGTGTTTTTCACCTTTCCTCCTGTGTAAGCATGCTTAGATAGCACAGCAGGTATGCTTCAGGGCCCAACCCTCTTCCCCACCCCGCATTTTCTCCTGACACAGGGGAATGTGGCCATAACGGCCATAACATTTTAACTCACAGGAGGAGCAGGGGAAGAGTTCTCCACTTTTAACATATCCACCATAATCCTAGGAGTATCTCATTGCCAACCCCTGCTGGGTTTCTGACATGAGTTGGCCAAATGGGAGCCTGGGAAACATCCAACAAGGGATTTTATGATTTCTGGCAAACAGTCCATGCCTGGTTGCTAGATTACACCTCGAAGTTTCCAATTTCTTTCCACTGACTTGTATCCAGAGGGTTGTGTTTTTTGTTTAGTTTTTTAAGATAGTGAAGGCACTCTGCTTAAGAGATGAGAATAAAAGTCCTTCTTAACTGCAAACGGTGACTTAATCTGTGTTGTTCAATAGCAGTTACCTGGTATTAACAGTAGCATAGCATCACTACTATTTAAAGCAAGGCTGGGCAGCAGTAATACTCCCCCATATACTGCTAATATTAATCTACAACTCCCAGCAGAGTGAATGGTAGATTCTGCCAGTACCAAGGCAGTTCTGCCAGCAGAAGAGAGTTCAACATACAGTCGTGCCCCGCTGGACGATTACCCCATTTAACTACGAATCCGCTTAACCGTGCTTTTCAATGGGTTTTTTATTTCGCTTGACGATGTTTTCGTTCTGCAGCGATTTCGCTGGAAACGAATTAACATCGTCAAGCGAGGCACCACTGTATTGCAAATCCTTGCAAGCTTGTATACCTTTGAATTAGAATTGCACAGTCTCATCTATATCCAGCCTGGTTATTCTTCTGGAATCGTAAGACTGCCTATTAAAACTAAGAAGGAACTCTATATGTAAAAAGCAGATTACAGTGGCAGTTCCTGCTCTGGCTTTTAATACAGTCTGGACAGACTATCCAGTTTCTATGGGTATATTGCAAAAATATTACACTAAAAGGATCAAGGGAGCATTTACAAGTTTCCATGATTAAATGGACCCACCCTGCATGTTTGCTGGAGTTATACACAATGCGATGTGCTGCATTGTACTTGTCTGCTGGCAGAGATGTTTTCTTTTTTCATTAATGGAATTTAAATGCTCCCACAAAGAAAATCCTAGACCGAAAATGCTAATTAAGATAGGATATTAAGCAGATCATATGTATCATGTGGTGAACTTGCAGCGTCTGTTTTGTGGAGTTCATTTAATGTGGACTGAGATTTTAGGAGTCTTGTGCCCTAAACAGTTCATATATGGGAATCTCCTTTTGTAAACCACATAGCTCTCGAGTGCCATGACTACCCCAGTTAATCTTGTCTCACTGTTTTCTTCTCGGCCCACACCCTAGTTTCCCACTATGTCCTTAAGAAGAGGCTGATTGTAAAATGTATGGCACAACCATACTCTGCATCTGATATACCAGAATACATTTGGCAGAACTCCTTAGTCACAATCGTCTACACTAAGCTGAAGAACATGTAGTGGAAATAAACAGAGACTCTCTTTCTACCCCTGTCTCCATTTTCATTCCATGACCTCTCTTGTCTCCTCTCTTGAGTTACAGACTCTCAGGACAGAAGCCTACCTTCTTATTTCTATGCATAGGGATGGAGATGAAACAAGAACAGTAGTAATAGAATATTTCGTGTGTTTTTTAAAATACGTAATTACAAAACAAAATTTAACAGAACTACACAGGAAACCCTTAAAACATAAAAAATGCAATAATACATGTCCGTGTCATTGTGAGACTTTATGTCCTTACAGCTTAGGAAAGAATGAGAGAAATGACTTAACGAGTGATGAAATTGCATGTAGCTACTTAGGGAATAATGAGGACATAGTAAAGTTACACTCCAAAAGCAGGGTAATGAGGGTAAACAAAGCTACTCTCCTACTGTAGCCACTGAAATTTCCTGGTTGCTTTTAAAGTTTTCATGGTTTTATGTGATTCTCTTCTCTCTTGTCAGATTTCCTTCAAAAAGTAACATGAAAGTACTGTAACAAGTAACACAACACTTGTTAAGACGTTGCAGTAGCCAAAATCCTGTTGGTTAACATAACATAAGACACGCTAGATAGATCCATTGAATCAATGGAGATTGGTGAATCAACTCCTCGGCAAATTCCATTGATTCATAT